CATTAATGTACCTAAACACAACTCCGTCAAAATTGACAAATATTCTTAACTCATATGTGAGATTGTCAAGACTGCTTCAAACAAAGTTGATTTGGCCAACTTTGTTATTATGATATAGATGGGCAATTTAACTACGTTAAACCACATATGTATGGGTATTATTTGGTGAATATCAAAATGATATATTATATAAACCACATGTTATTCATGTGTCTCCAAAAGATTTCATATCTTATGTTGAATGTGAAAAATATGTTAAATGGTAGTTTTTGAATGTCGCATAATTTTTGGGAGAATATCTCTTAGCTAATTGACATGTTCTTGTGTTATAAATTAAAGAATAAAAAATTTTACATTGTAAGAAATGATCATATTTTCATTAATTAATGTTTTTTTTTTCTAATAACGAATGATCATAATCATTTTAAAGAGAATTCATATTTTTTAGTACCGAATCACATAACTGAACAGAATTCAAATAGTTCTCAAATTTGCAGCTTTGCTAACCTAATTTACTTTTTTTTTTTGAGTTAATAATAATATTACTTCAAACACAATAGGTTGGAGAAAAATTATAAAATTTTTCTTCTTAATATAATTTTTTTGTACATGAATACAAATCTTATACATAAAGCAAAGCTTAGAAAAAAAATTAATAATTATTAAGTTACATATTATATCTTTCTTTTAAAACAATATGCATCCTTAAAAATAGTCATTTTATAGATCACGTCCTTAATAAACACTGATGTTAATTATCCTGATATTGTATTTATGTTTGAAAGTCTCTTAATTTTTTTAATCCTCATATTATTTTAGAAGTTGTATTAAGTGATGATTGAATGAATTATTTTTTTAGTAACAAAAAAATAATGTGATAATTAGGAGGGGTATAGTAGTTTTTTGTATCCATCATGTGAAATAATATTTTTTACCCAAAATTTCTTCATACTTAAGACTTATACTCTTAATGTTGTCTCATAAATAAACATTTAACTTATTGTGTGACTCATTATTTATGTTTACAGCATCTGTATTTTCTTTTTAATTGTCTATTTTATTTAATAATATTTATAAAATCTAAAATTATTTTTCAAATATGTTTAGCAAGATTGTAATGTACATATTGACTATTCACTAATCATTTTTATCATTTTTCTTTCTGAGTTTTTCTATGCACCAAATCAACCACAAATACATAATTAACCCTTTTGTGTTTTCACAATCTTTATAAAGTTCTAACAAACAATACTTTTGTAAAGTTCCTTCAGCAACTAACTTGGGGGACCTAAAATGAAAGTATAACCTAAATTTGTTATAGTTCTCATTCTAAAAAATTTTAGCTTTATATCAACAAAAAGAAAAATAATAATGTAACACCCAAAATTTTATTTTTATTATTATTGGAATTATTTTGATTTTTTATTTTATTTTAATAATTAATTTATTAGGTAATAATTATATGATTTTAATTTAATTTAATTTAAATAAATAGAAATAAAAATAATAAAATAATGATAAAAAAGGGGTAAAATTATTTTTTTGGATTTAATTGAAAATGATTTTAGAAAAAAGAGGTGAAAATTTGGATTATGGGGGTATTTTTGAAAAAACAATCGAAAACCAAGGGTCAAACGCAATTTAAAAAAATTGCATCACGTCAGCAGTCCTGGCCAACCAGAACACTGACGCGGGAGGCCACGCAGGACGAAGCCACGTGGGCGATCCGCGTGCATGCGATCGGACGACCCAGATTCATTCTCGCGCGCACGGACGGCCCAAATCAAAAGTGCGTGCGGACGGCCCAGATTTCACGCGTGTGGACGACCCAGATTGAATCCCGCACGGACGGCCCAGATTCATTTTCAATTTAATTGCGATCGGACGGCCCAGATTAAATCGTGATGGATGGCTCAGATTAAAAGGGGAAGGTTATAAATAATCTCATCCACACCCAACCCCAAACCCTAGCCGCTAGAGCCCCCGCCGGATAAGACAGCCCAGCCACCGGAAGAACCGACCGCCGCTACCCGCCGCCGCACCGGAGCACTTTCTGACCGCCAAATAAGGTAAAATTTCTCTCATTGGCTCGAATTTCGATGCTGAACCCCCCTGTGGCCAAATCGGAGCCAAACCACTGGTCAATTGGCCGGAAAACACCGCCGAAGCCTAGCGGCAGCGCCGCTGGTTTCCTCAGTTTTTGCCTTCGATGAGGCCCTTTCCGATTTCCATTCGATGTAATTTTTACACCACTGTGACCACCGTCCTTTCCTCTACAGGTTGACTGGAGCAAAACACCAAATAGCGACTCGCGCCGGAGGAGCCGCCGCACCCGAGAGCTTCGCCGCCGGTAAGTCTCGATTTTCTGAAATTTTTTGGCCCACCAAGGGCCCTAGGGGTGTTTTATCATAGGAAACAATGCAAGTTTGGCCGAATTCGGCCGGAAACGACCAACCCAAGGCGGATCGTCGCCGTGCCGAAATTCTGAAATTGGTTGAATAGGCCCTGGGTCTGATTTGGGATTTTTTGGGGACATGTTCAAGTATCGGAAGTGTATTTCAGTTTTCGAAAAAAAATTTAGGGAATCTAGGGATTGTCCGTAGGCGTAGTGAGAACCCGATTTCAGATTCCGAAACAAGTAAAGATTCCCTCACCCTATTTTCTATCACGACATTAAAGCTTAATAAATGATAAAACGGTATTTTATGAATTAATAGATATGTATAATTAATTAAGATTTCTAATGGGGCCCGAACCTTATGTATTTGTCGGTCTGTTCCTGTTTGATGTATTTTACAGTCTAAATGCAATATAGTATTTGATTGTTTATCCCGTGGTTTTGTATGCATGAATCACTGTTTAATCTATTATGGTTTGAACTATTGTGAACCCGATATTGTGTTGCCTTGTTTGGTGTGTGTTACTGGTTTACGTATTAATGTTCATTGGATAATTGAGACTAAGAAAAATAGAAAGGGTATGTGAATTTATAAATGGATAAGTCGACAGCCTCACTAGATATCTTGGGAGATGGTGGACGGAACGGGTCCATAGGGAACCCTACCGGGAACGTGGTCTCTCATATCGGACGGGGTATGAAGACTTTAAATGTTTTGGCGCTCATACCAGATGGGGTATGGGGACGGCCCCCTTCACCCTCATACCGGACGGAGTATGGGGACGGCCCGCTTCACCCTCATACCAGACGGGGTATTGAGGTTTATGGTTTTGGCGCTCATACCGGACGGGGTATGGGGACGGCCCTAGAATTAAGGTGAATGGTCCACATGTAGCAAGGACCCCTATGGATCCTCATGGATACTAGTGGGCTAATAAAAGAGGAAATTTGTTGCCTGATGATTGAAATACAAAAGTATGATATGTGTTATGTTATAGAGTGTGCATGATCTTATGATGTTTATAATGTTATTGTTTTCATAAGTTGTTTTCATGAATCTCACCGAGATAAGTGGATAGTAAAGGATTTTATTATTGATAAATGAATTTGTTATAATTTATGTTCCATTGGTCATTTTTGTTTTCTATCAACCTTTATTTATGTGATAGTGAGATAGTGTGACTTCTTTATTGGGGTAGTGTAGCTCATTCCTTACGTAACCATTTCAGATCAGGAGGACTTGGTTCCCAAGCCTGTTCCGCAGGAAGTCGGCGAGTATAAGCCTAAAAATTTATTAGTTTTCCTTATAGTATTCATTCATAGTATTTCCTTTAGTTAGTTTATTCTTTCATATCTTTAATACGTTTTGATTATTGTGGAAGGGATGTTAATCATAATCTATTTTATTTTGCTTCCGCACTTAAAATAAATACATACATTTCCTTTTAATTTTCGGGGCCGTTACAAATAATGTAAATCCATATCCATATAATATTATATTCTCTATGTCAAAATATATCATAAAAAAGATGGACCAACATATCAAATGATAAAAAAATACAAAAGCATCATCAAAGTAGAAAAAGAGTAAACAAAAATCTACATGTTTAACTTTTGCACTCCCATTAAATGTTAAATTTTAATTGTCATAACTTTTTTTTTTTTATTTAGTTTGTTGTTGAATTTTAGAAGGGTTATTGATAAAGTTTAGAACCTTCTTTATTGTGCCACCTGTTCTTAGACAATTAAAACATTGTGCATAAAATAATTACCTTAGCACTAAATACTCAAATATTTATATAACATCCATTAATATACATGAATACAACTCTATGAAGATTGATGAACATTCTTGACTTATATGTGAAGATTGTCAACACTGCTCCAAAAAAAGTTGACTTTTCTTATAAGCCAACTTTGCTATTACAGTATAAAAAGATAATCTAACTATGCTGAACTACACATATGTTGTCTTTATTTGTTGAATGTTAAAATATTATATTTTATGTCACATGTTATTTTTGTATCTCGTAAAATTTTTTATGTATTATATCAAATGTAAAAAATATATTAAGCGATAGTTTTTGAACCTTATAAAATTTTGTCAGAAATATCTCTTAGTGCTTATTTGACTTGTTTTGGTTTTACAAATTAAAACAATTTATGATTATCTTTTTATTAATAATTATTCTTTTAATAAATAAGAATCAGAGTCATGTTTAAAGAGAATTCAAAATTTCAGTACTAAATTAAATAACTGAACAAGATTTAAATAATTTTTAGATAATATTTTTGATGAATTAGTTTGACGAACAAATTCTAAAATTTATATAAAAAAAAAAAAACTTCCAAATGTATTGTTGATTCAACTTCCGGAAGAAGTCAACATTTGAATTGGATACTTAATCAACGGTAACAAAGGTTCTGCCGATTATACCCAACAACAAAAAATCTTTACACCAAAATGCCAAAAATCTTCCCTAAACAAACGCAATCACCCACAATAATGAGCAATTTACAAGGCCAGATATGGGTCCCACTCATCGCCACATTGTACACGTGGCATCATCCCAGTCACCTAACAACCCCTTGCCACGTCAGCACCCCACTTTCCTCAGGTCTCTCCCTCATCCCCAGCCCAACCAAGTCCTCTCTCTCTCTCTCTCTCTCTCTCTCTCTCTCTCTCTCTCTCTCCCCATATCGCGCTTCTCGCGGCAGTCAGCGGATCACAGATATATCAGCCCCGCCAAACTATGTACTCATTTCTAGTCTCCACTCAGAACTCCTGTACTTAGTCTATTTATCTGTATTTTTTTCGTTGTTTTGGTTTTTAAGGTAGCTGGTAAAAGGCGGTTTTCCGCTGGGTTTAGGTGATATCTGGGCAGTTTTGAGGGGTATGGGGAGGATGGGAGGTAGCCAGATGACTTACTCCGCCAACAGTGATGACTACAAGCTTTTAGAAGAGGTTGGCTATGGAGCGAGTGCGACTGTTTATAGAGCGATCTATCTCCCTTTCAACGAGGTTGTGGCGGTGAAATGCTTGGATCTCGATCGCTGCAATAGCAATCTGGTTCGTTATTCGTATTTTGACTTCTCTTTTCGGAGAAATGAGTTTTATTTGACCTTCAATTAACTGAGTTTTTGTGCTGAGATCTTGTTTAGATTGGAGAAAAGTTGTATGATTTAATTTGATTTGCTTGTTTGGTTCTGAAGTGTCACTGTTGGTTAGGTATAGTTAATTATAGATTTGATTTTGAGGCCTACTTGTTATGTTTGGGGTTAGAATTGGGATCATTTGCTTTCAGATTTCCATTTTATTGGTCGAAGTTGATTCATTTAATTGATAGTCAAATCGCGTTGTTTTTATGGAGGCAGAACTGCCCCTACTGAGATTATCATCCGTATAGGTGAACACTGACCCGGGAATATATTTATCTTGCGAGGCTGTATACTGGTTTTGCAGCCATAGGGCCTACTTATAGGCTATAGTAATCTCTAAAAACAAATCCTTGATATCTTGAAGGCCTTTTGAATTACTGCTAGGACATCGGGCACTCTAATCATTGAATAAGTTTAGTTTTTGCCAATAATTTTATAATTTTGGCCAAACAAGAACCAGCGATCAGATGCAAAGCTAGGAAAATACATCATCATATGATGATAATGAACTGTTATTTCCATGTTCCTTTGAGTACAAGTGACTGCCTGTTTATCTTTTGCATATGTTACGTTCTCATTTCTGCTCTTTTGTTGGTTAGGATTTTCTTTTCATGCTAAGGTGTTAAACCACTAAGCTAGTCTGCTCCTTAAAACTCCTTTAATCAAATTAAAGAGACGGCAATATTGGGATTTAATATGTGGAGGGACAGAAAATGAACTGCCTGTTATTTGGCCAGCAACCAACTATTTTTCAGAACAGGACTCTTAACTTCCAAGGATATGCTTAAACTATGTTGCATATGTATTGTGGTCATTGGTAGATTCAAAATTTCTTTTGTAGGTGCAAATATTTATATGAATTTAATTTATGATATATAAATAAATAGTTACTAGCCAGATGAACAAGAGGATCTACCATTCAAGTGTTTGAAAGCTAGTAATACTGTAATATCTGGTTAGACAGATGAAACAGAATGAAAATTGGTCTTAGCAAGTAAAAAATAAAAGATAATGGGCTTCATGGAGCAGCCACAACCAAGTATTTAACAAACTATTAGATAATTAACTTAAGTTCAAACTTTTGTAGTGTATTTCATCAAAAACTTTAACCTTATACACATTATTCTGAGGTTACTTTATACTATTGGTGGAGGAAATTTTATATGTACATGTGAACATTAAATTATACATTTAATTTCAGAAGTAGCACACCCACCACCCATTATAAATCCACAATTTGTTATGAGTTGGTTAGCATGATAACAACCCATATCTTACGAGTATAATTGTCTATGTGTATTATCGTTGCCTTAAGTAGCTTTCTTGATGGATCATGTTCCTTCTCAGGATGACATTCGAAGAGAAGCTCAAACCATGAGCTTGATCGATCATCCAAATGTTATAAGGGCATATTGTTCATTTGTTGTTGACCATAACCTTTGGGTTGTCATGCCATTCATGGCAGAGGGTTCGTGTTTACACCTCATGAAGATAGCATATCCAGATGGATTTGAAGAATCTGCTATTGGTTCTATTCTGAAAGAGACTCTCAAGGCTTTGGAGTATCTCCATCGACAAGGACACATTCATCGGGATGTTAAGGTAAGCTAGTCTTGGAGATTTTACCTTGCATCACCTCATGGGCTTATTTTCTGTCTTCTCTGTTTTTCTTAGAGGAAAGAAGATAAGAACTAATAAAATAGACACAGAATCAAGGGGGTGCACCCGCATACACAAGCTTCAAAAGTAAGTAAAAATATCAATAAAGTCCACCAAGTCCTCCACAAAAAAGTGGATGATTCTTAAACTAAGTATCTAGAGTCTGAACCTCGAAAACCTCCACTTTGAAAGGGAAAACTAAACCCTTGAAAGCTTTTCTATTGCTTTCTTTCCATAAAGTCCACCAGGTTAATTACGGGGATTAGAGAGATTAATCTTTTCTTGTGCTTATCCATCCACATGCCATGTCATCCCCCAAACTTTTTTAACCATAGAATAAAGAACCTGATTTTTATTCTTAACTTTCCTTTTTCTGTGCTAACAGGCTGGAAACATACTTCTTGATAGCAATGGTGTGGTAAAGCTTGCTGACTTTGGTGTTTCTGCTTGCATGTTTGATACTGGCGATAGACAGCGTTCAAGAAATACATTTGTGGGGACTCCTTGCTGGTAAGCTACATTTTCCCTTGTTTTAGTCTTCTTTCTTATGTTTGTTTTGACTTTTCTTCTTCCTCATATTTCCTTTATTAGAATAGAAAGACCCATTCCATATGTATACAGTTCCATCTTTTATTTTCTTTTGCAGGATGGCACCAGAGGTGCTACAGCCAGGGAGCGGATATGATTCCAAGTGAGTGTTATTACATGCAAGTAAACCAGATTCTGACCAATAGAGTTTTGTACAAGATGAATTTCACAAGGCTTTTTATTTCAAAAAAGAAAAAAAATCATAAGGCAAACTACTTAAGAGAGTAAATGTACATCAGGTGTTTTTGTTCTTATTCCTTGCTTGAGGGGCTAGAAAGGGTAGGTTTGGGTTCAAACCTGCAGCTAATAGCAGCTGCAGGTCAGAGAATCATGTTTGTTCCTCATTTTCCTGATCTGGTTTTCCTTTCAAAATGAAGCATTCACATGCTTCAGCCTTCAAGAACTGCTTCTGGCCACCGGCTGAACAAGAATTCCTTTTTTTTTTCTTTTTTTTATTTTTTGGGTCCGGAGTTGGGGGGAATAGAAGTTTCTTGTTCAGAAGAAATAGAAGTGTGGAAACAAAGTGGTTGCAATATGGTCTTAATCATATTTATCGTTTTTAGCTACCATACAAATTCCTATTATTTTGGGGCTATTTTGTTATACCAAGGGAAAAAAACTTCTATTAGAAAAGAAATTTATTTTCTTGTTGCTGCAGATAAAAGTTTTCTCTTGCCAAAAGCAAGAAAAGTGTTTAATAATTGAAGTGCTGTTAAGGGTGATTATCCAATATTTGTGTTTAGTAATAATATTTGTAAATATTGTGTCAGATTATGGTATGATGGTTAATTGCAGTAAGGGAAGTATTTTATTTTTGAGACATTAATGCATTTATATATATCCTGATATTTCAAAGATCATATGTAATTTTTGAGACATTAATGTATTTATATGTATCCTGATATTTCAAAGATCATATGTAATTTCAAAGATCATATGTAATTCAAAGATCATATGTAATTTCAAAGATCATAGTTTGCTTCATGTGAAAGAAAAAGGAAAATATGATATGCTTATGAATAAGACAGTTTTGCTTTGTTTATGGATAAAATTGTAATATTTGTACATACACTAACTTTTGTTATTGCACTAATGTTTTGTTATTGCAAATGAAAGATTAAAAGGAAGATCGTATTAATGACATTTCTAATAAATTCAAGACTGTAAAAATATTAAATGGTTGAATATATAAATAGTATGGATAAGGCAATATATAAAGGGATGTGAGGACTATGAGTATCACTAGCCC